GGTTTGCTGGTAGACTGGTAACTACCTGCAGTTTTAGTAATTGGCACTGTAGGTTTCAGTGTTATATCTTTCCTGCAGTTTGGAAATAAGCAGTTTAAATGAGTGCACTCCTGCATTGGCAGAAGCCGTTTTCCTGTCCTAGTTTCCTAGGTAAGATATATAAGTGGACAAAATGTTTTTCATTTCTTAATATAAAGGACAGGAAAGAGGGAAATAGAGTTTTCCTTTCTTCTCTGCAGCAGCACAGCACAGCAGGACCCAGGAAATGCAGCAGGTTATCTTCTCTCATTAGTTGATAACTGAGCCACAGAGGACATTTCCAGACATTATTTAGATTGACGAGTTGGCTATTTCAGTATTTGGTATTTCTTGAAGTCTGAATTGTTGGCAAATGAGGGAGATACTTTTCATGGTTTTAGAGAGCTGGAATTAAATAGATTTAGTGCAAAAGGTTTAATAATCAAGGGATGGTGATTGAGCAAGAACAAATTTAGAAGTTCTGCAATATACATAAGTCATGGAGGGATAGTTACATCTGTAATGAAGGAGAAATCTGCTCATGCTGAACATTGCTGTGTTCTCCAACCCAGCAGGATTGGGTCACAGGTTCTACAGGTACAAGTTAAGGAATATCTGTTTCTCAAGGTTAATTGGGCTGAAGATGAGAAAGAACATTCTACTCTACAAAGGACAGGGCAAACAAAGTAATGACCCAAGTATGACTCTTTAGTGAATAAAATAAATGCTTGCTTAATTCTGTATTACATACAGAACCATTATGTGAAAATATAAAATTATACAGAGTTCTACGTACCATGTACCTAAAGGAAAGAGGTACATGTCGGCCCTATAATGTAGACCAGACTAAGAAACCAATGCCATATAGGTCTAAAACTCCTTTTATTAAAACAGCTATAGTAACAAAATCTTGCAAGTCTGAATGTGCTTCCCTCCTCCCTCACTTCATATTTCTGTGAATTAGATAGGGACCTGTCTGAGATGTTTTCTCAGGTTAGTTTCTTGGAATGGGTCTAAGCCTCACTTGTCTGATCATTGCCTTGTTAATGGATCTTCCCACTGTCCTTCAAAATCATCTTCTCTGCCCTCTATCGAACAGACCACTATCCAATTCCTCCTCACCAATCTTCTAGTGGAATCACCATCACTACATATATTGTAAATAGTTGGGAAACAGCAGAACAAGCTTTACCTTTTTTTCCCTAATAATTAGAAGAAATAAAATTAATTTTCAGTATATTCATACTTGTATTCAGCATGATTTCCAGAAGGAATAGTTCAGCGTCCAACACTAAATCTTCCATAAGTGCCTTTTTGCTTCTTTTAATCTTAGTTACTATCTGGTGTCTGGTAACCAGAAACACTCTTCTAATCCATTACTCCTCCCTGGTTCCAAACTCTGCAATTAATTGATGATCCAAGGTCCTTTTCCTGTTAAAAATCTGTACTGAAAAGAAATGTTAAGGGGTTATTTAAGATAAATTACTTTGATTGGTGATAGAGAAATCCTTTAGAAATTTATTGTAAAGGCAAAAAATAGTATTTTTAAAATTACTAAACCACAGAATGAGGGGATGCGGTGGCGCAGCGGCTTAATGATGCTGAAAGTTGCCCGCCAGAAATGGTTGACACTTCAGCGGTTCGAGCCCAGCTCCGCGCAGCAGAGTGAGCTCCT